AAGAGAAGTCAGGAGTCTAGCGGGATGAATAGGAAACAATTTCCAGTTGCAGAGAACTTCAGTAGGACTTCCGAAGAAAGTCGGAAAATACATCTACAAAAAGTTAGGATTAACTTCCAGGGAACGTTAGAAACAACTTCCTGCAAACTTGGAATAATCTTCAGAACAAGTTGGAAGAAGTTTTCATTCGAAGTCGAATGAAACATCCGCGAGAAATCAGCCGCAAGAAACTTCTAGAGGAAGTTGGCCAAAACTTCCAGAGGAAGTCAGAAGAATCTTCCGGGGGAAGTCAGGAGAAACATCCGGGAAGAATTCATGAAAATCTACCCGGAAAAACCAAAATATTTAATTTTATTGGTGAAAACTACGTAATGTTTTACGAATCGTTCGGAAGAAGATAATAAACGATAATTGATCAATCTGTTCTGCCCGTTTCTCAATAATTCCCGAAATGAATCATCAGTTGTTTCCAAATTCCCCGGGAGCCAAATATTAGATTAGATTAGAATATCTTTTGTTTATCAACAGGGCTGAATAAAAAAAATTCACCCTGTTAATTTTATCACGTTTTCTTTCCGAATGAATTATCAGCATGGATGATATCCGCAACATATGTCTCTAGTTAAAAAATAACTTCTATGCAGAAAACTATATAAAAAAAAAAAAAAAAAAAAAAAAAAAAAAAAAAAAAAAAAATTTCAGTTGTCATCTTTTTCGTCGCGTTTTTTTTCGATTTTTTGATGAGGCGCTTGATAAAATTTTTCTAAAAAGTGCGTGAGTATAAAAATTGAAGGCTATTTCTATGTGTATTTTTAACTGAATTCCAGTGCTGTGATTCGGGTTTTCATTAATTTTCGGTTCAGTCGTGAAAGTAGCATTTTCTAGTGCGCGGTTCAAGAGTAAAATTTACGGGTTGCGAAGTGTAGTGGTGCTTTCACGATTTTGGTTAGGTACCTCTGATTTTTCGAAGCAGCTGAATTTCCGAGTTGATAAAGAAGGAGGTCGAAGACGGCCAGCGGCACATCTATCGGTAGAGGCATTGCTGCTCTTCTGTTTCTGCTGCTTACAAAACAAAGACTCTGCGATTTAGACTATGTCATTTTTGAGAGCTCGGTGAGATCATTCCATATTTTATTTTATTATGCGAATAATTCAAATTTATATATATGACAACAAGTTGTGTGTTGGGTTCTAGACATTGCTGGTGTTAATGAAAATAAATCGATAATGCAGACTTGATTTTTTCCGTACTTCCACTGTTGAACTCTGATCAGCTGGCGTGAAGACACAAACTCACACACACACACAGATATCCACTTAAGGGGAAGTTCACGGCTCTGAATAATAATTACGTTTTGGTTTTGGTAGAGGTGTACGAGGAGGACCCATACATAAATTCAGCAATCGATTAAATTTTCAATAGCGATCAAAAATATCCATTAGTACCGTCCCAATGACGCGTTCATCTAGATAAAACTGATAAAAAGCAGATTTTTAGCTATGGGCCTAATCTTAAACCCATAGGCCAACATTAGAGCCATTTCCCCTACACAGCAAAAAATAAATTTTGATATTACATTCGAGAGGATGCACTTCGATCATGTCGAAAATCTCATGTAATTTTTATGGCCACAAAAATAAACAAATGCAGTAAAAGCAACGTAATGTCAGTTCATGCACTGTATTAATGATAATTTTGTCCTTTTTGGCTAGTAATATTACACCATATTTTTGACACGATTGAAGTGCATCCACTTTGATGTGATATCAAAATTAATTTTTTGCTGTGTACAATGAGAATTTTCGGTCACTTCTAACCCCATTCACTGTGCAATTTCACTGATTCTGGCCAATCACGGAGTAGCAACCATTGATTTGTGGAGTCAGTCTAAGCCGTCTAAGCATGTCTGATGCAGAGAAGCAAGCTACTGATTTAATTTTAGATCTGTATGACAATGTTGCAAATACTCATTTCAGGTAAAAAAATGTTTTTTTTTTTTTTTTTTAATTATGAAAAATATTGGATAATCCAAAGCTATGTTGATCATTATAACATTAAATTTTGACTAACAAATAATAAGACAATCTTATTAAAATGTCGTAATAATACCTCTGACCAAGGAAAAATGATTTATATAATTTTCATAAAAGTTGACGATACAAATACTAATGAGGAAAGGAATTCCACATTTCCTTTTCCCAAGTCCTTTTCCTCTCCTTCCCTTCCCTTCTTCTCTTTTCAGAAAGCGAGTAATGGCGCTATAACCATATGCCATATAGGGCTAGGACAAGAGTTAGTGCTCAGGTCCCAACCGCTAGAAGAAAATGGTAGCGAGCAAGGGCGCTATAACCTAGGCGAATACAGCATTCCCTCCGTATAGGTTACGTCCGCACACCGCTCTCTGTTGTCCTTCTACTGAGGTCGGCTGGATCGATTGAGGGATGGCAGTGGGTTGGCGGTGCCGTCCACGCTTGTACGGAGGGAGGACTGTACGCTCGAACACAAGGGGTAAATACCTGTGTTCCATCCCAGGAGATCGGACAACCAAGGAGTGTACATTAACTTTCTTAGCTCTGTCACTCCCAACGATTTATATAGCCTATTTTCAAATCCTGCATACGGAGCGGTTGGTACGGTATGTCCCCGCTCTTTGATTACCTGTGGATTAAATGTTAACCACTGTCTATACTTATTAAGTAGACATGGTAAACATTCACTTCCACAAAAATTAACTAAACGCTACACAGTAGGCCTGGCCGCTTTAATGTTTGTTTCACATCCTTGATGTGCAGCAGGCATTAATAATGACAAGAAAAATGATAGATGTATCATTTTCCAGGATTCTTTCAAGTACTGGCTGTGTATGTGTGTAGACTAGAACTTCTATGCAGAAAACTATAAAATGGTACACTAATAGCCTAATAGGTTAACCGGTGGCAAAATATTTTTCAATTTTCACTTTAAAAATCGATATTTTTGCAAAAACGTTGAAATCATCATACATTATTCATTTATACCGAGATGTATACATTTATTCATTTAAATTGAAACTCCTACAACCAAACAATACCTTCAAAAGCTTCTATGATGCTGCATCAATTTACGCCACGTTGCGTCGTCAACTTAGCAAGCCCACCGAAGCCCACCGCAAAAACTTCCCAACCTCAGGAGGCCACTTCAAAGCCTGCATTGAAGCAGCCATAAAGCTCATCCAACCTAAACTTCGATGTGCATCATGCACACATAACTGTACTCACGTATACTGGTTGATTGATAGGTACCTATCTACCTACTGGTATAGACAACTATGACGACGACGAAAATCCATTACGAAACACATGTACAACGTTGGTATTGAAGTAACAAAAAAAAGGTAAATAAACCAGCTGGAGAGTACCTACAAACCGGTCTCGCGAGCGGACTTCACCCTCCGTTTGGTCATGCAATTCTGCATCAAGAAAAGCGCATCGCCGTGGCATAAAAGTGAAAGTGTGAAATATGACATTATCAAAGCAGGCGTGGATTGGAAGTACCGCAACAGAGCAAGCCGGTCGGTGTTATCAAACCCCATAAATCGCTGATAATGACAGCGGACTATCGCTGCTGGGTCGAAACAAAATAAAAGTAAATCAGTTTTGGAATTTGGCCTACACAACAAATGCGGTATCACTCAACCTGTCGAAGGTGTCGGTCGGTCGTTCGCCGTATGACGTGTCGCGTATTTTCTGGAGGAAACGCCAAGAATAGCAAGACAGCGCCAAGGTTCGGCCGGTTTACATGTCCCAGCGACAATCTACTTGGTATGCAACGCGTCAACGCTGTCAAAGACTCGTTAGAAAGAATGCGAAGTGCATTGCGGTGATAAAATGACGGAATGTCAGTCACGTTTGTGTGAGGCTTAACTTAAGCGGTGCTGTCTTCCTGATTGTCAAAACATTTTTAGAAACAACAAGAATTCAGCTGCTTGCAGGGATGGATCGCTCTTTGATGCATCGTTCATTTCTTTATAATATAGAAAACTAATGTTTAGTCTAATAGAATTTTTAGTTAATCCATTAATCTATCTATTTTCTATTTTGAGGTGGATTAGCTGAAAATTCAGTTGGGCTCTACGGTAGCTTTTTAAAATGTAAAGTAATGAACGATGCACCAAAGAGCGACCCATCCCTGGCTTCTTGAAATGGTTTAAATAAGTCTCAATTTGACACCAGTTTGAACTAATTGTAACAAAGCGTCAGTTAAGGTCATGAATGTAACCTCATTTAAAATTGAATTAACAATACAGTATAAACACATCGAATCTACATATACCCGCTTATCGCTCGACTAGACAAAATATCGCAAAAAGCTTAACCTTGATGAACCTGTTGAAACACTAACACACAAGCCGGATTCAAGACAAGTTAAGAGTCTTGCATAATAATCACGCACAGTCGCCTGTTTTTCGCCTTTGTTGCCACTGCGAGACCTCCACTTGTTGCTTTATAGAGGATATTCGCTCGCACGATCAGCGCAATTGTTCAGGCTAATTATTCGCGGTTCTGAGAGAGAAAAAAACGCTCACATTGACGAATACATAGCACTGGCTATAAGGTCAATCAGTCACCACATGCCACCTTAAAAATCACTCATCATCATCATCACCATCATTGCCAAAACAACAACAACAGGCTTACTAGATGCTCAATCACGGTCAATAGTCGATGTCTTCAGCCGTCATAAAAGCCCCGAAGAAACCGGTTTCTTCTCTCCGCGATCCAAGCAGACCTTGGAAAACATATTTCACAACCGAAGTAGTAACTCGCATCGTAGCGTGCTACGATGAAGTTAATGACCACTAATCAATGACAGCGTGAAAAGCCTAGAAAACCTCTTATTTTCACTTAAACTACGAAATGTACGCAGCACACTTGGATTCCTCCACGCATCAATTACCAACTAGATAGCATCTTTCTCCGACAAGACCCATAGGTTAATTCATTACACGTGTCACACTCACTTAACGTCTCGGGGAGCCGTCACGGCGGCAATGTAGAACCAGCGCCATTTCCCGCTGGCTATCAGCACGGCCAGCAGGGCGATCAGAACCGCCGGCAATCCAAACTCCCAACCCATGTAGTACCAAACGAGGACGATTCCCGCGATCGAAGCACCGAAACCGACAAACTGAATCGCGTACAGGAAGACTAATCCGACCCGTTCACTGGTCGAGCGTGAACTGCTCGCGTTGGGGCTTTCGTCGGTTGCTGGAACCGCACTTGATGACGTCGACGAGATGTTGTACTGCTGCTGCTTGCCGCTGGGAGGGTCATTTTCCACCCGTCCCTTCTCTATGTCGATGATGGATGGCTGCAAAGCGAGAAAAGAGAGAAAAAAATCGACCATCAGTATCAGGAGCTTAGCGACTTAAAAGCTCAGTAGGCGAGCTGCTAGGGGACTCGAAGTTGCAGAGCGCCAGGCGCTTACATCAGTAGGCGGCGGTGCACTATCGGCGTTGGTTACACCGAGTGAACTTGGTGACAATGCAATGGTAATAATAATAGAAATCGGCATCATATAATTAACATTGATCGATGGGTAATTCTCGTTTTATCCACAGATGCTATGAACTATGCCGTCGAAATGATCCTGCAATATCCGTTCTGTGGGTGGCACCACCTCATGGAGACGGCAGTAGTTTATATTCGATGCGAAGAATGTGTCGAGTATCATGCGCACCACTCCACAATCTGCTCTTTTTTGATATGTGGGGATATGTACCGTGTAAAAAAAAAACAAACCAAGATTTTGATGTTTCGCATTCTAAAATATTTTTAAAAAAATACGACTTTAATGCCAATCGTTACTATAGCATGGTCTATGGTCTATGTAGACATATTTTAAAAATTTTGTATTTACACCAAAATTTTTGATTTTTATAAAGTATGTTTCGGTTACCTATGGCTTGCAAATGTGATTCGAATCAACTCGTTTGGTTTAATCGTTATTGAGAAATCGTTCAAAACGTACCATGTAAATTGCGACTCAGCCGCACCAACCGTGTAAAAACAAACAAACTTTCAATTCCAAGTTTTTAAATCAGGCGTATTGAATGCTTAATTGATTCAATTTTCATATTTCAAAATTCACTTCCTATATCCCATTCAAAATTAGGCTCCAAGCATGCACAACTTATTCTCAGATACCGCCAATGACTTTATTGACAGTCCACGGTCACACTAGCCCTCCCGGGCATGTTCCGGTGCCCCCCAGGAATTGGTCAGTTCTCGACAGGAACCAAAACCCGTAGTGCGACATATCGAACTTCATGATTTTGTTGAACTCCGCCAGTAATGGCCTTATTGTGAGTCCACATTTCTTGACCACCGTCCACCACTGAACCTAATTGGCCTTTTCGATGCACCGCCAACCTAGAGTGCACCACGTGAGTTCAAGAGGAAACGTCAACCAAACCGTTTGTTTACATCAGAATGAGAATTTTTCACAACGCAAATTAAAGCATTTTTCATTCAACATCTTGCCGATTTCCATCAGTAATTGCCATATTTTACGATTTTTCACAGATCTGAACTGATTTGCACCTGAACTATTAACACACAAGAAATCCTCTGGAGGTGAACAGGAGAAAGTCAAAAAGAGTGTTGTGAGCAGACATTTTTGCCGTGAGACATAGGAAACGGAACACTTTTTCACTTTTCCTGATAAATTGATTCACCTGAGATGTTTGTTTGTTTGTTTGTTTATTAAGGACATTTTACATCTCCGCGATGCATTCATGTCCGTGATTCACCTGAGATGCTCAAAAATTTGATCTACAGTTGAAAAATTTAATGAAATTGTGTTGTTTTGCAAAGATCCTGCCGGTGTTCATGAATATGATTGTTGAGAAAAATGGAAAATTAGAATAGTACCTTAGTGGTTATGATCTTCCGGATTTCTTGTGTGTGGACAGTTAAGGTACAATAAGACAATTATCGATAGATGAATGAAAAATGCTTTAATTTGCGTTGTAAAAAATGTTATTCTGATGTAAACAAACGGTTTGGTTGACGTTTCTTCTCGAACTCGCGTGGCGCACTCTACGTTGGTGGTGCATTAAAAAGGCGTATTTATTTTGCTGAGATTCAGTAAAACAATTGCCGAGACTCAGCTAACAAATAAAATGTTGCTGAAATATCAGCTAACAAACAGATATTTTGCAGAGATATCAGCAAAAGTAAATGCCGTGGTAATCGGCTGTTGGAGCTTTTACCGACCTAGATTAAGTGTGTGGAGTATTTTTGTTGAGAAAAATGGAAAATTATAAAAGTGCCTTAGTGGTTATGATCTTCCGGATTTCTTGTGTGTTAATAGTTCAGGTGCAAATCAGTTCAGATCTGTGAAAAATCGTAAAATATGGCAATTACTGATGGAAATTGGCAATCATTCAAATGTAAACAAACGGTGGTGGTGCATTAAAAAGGCCTATAGGCTGTTTCTATGCACCACCAATATAGAGTGCGCTAGGCGATTATGAGAGGAAACGTCAACCAAACCGTTTGTTTACATCAAAATTACAATTTTTACATCTCAAATTAACGCATATTGTTATGCGTATCTTGCATATTTCTATCGGAAGGGGTCTCAAACAGCTCAAATAACACCACATTAAAAATCCGGAAGATCATAACCGCTGGGGGAGTTTTATAAATCTTTACTTTTCTTAACAAAAATATGTGGAAGCACCAGCCGGATCACTGCACAATCGATACAGAAAACAAAATATTCAATGTGGATGATGATTACAAGCACCTGCGATGGATAAATTAATCCGAAAAGGTAAAAACATTTTCCTCTTCGTATGCTTCTCGGCGAAAATTTCAGCCCTCATCACTCTTTTGATGGTTCCCTTATTCACCACCAGAGGCTGAAACGATCGCTTGGTTTCTATTGGATTCGCCTATTGACATTGCATTCATGCAACATGAAAATCGGAAAGATGACAAAACATAAATGCCCTCAAAAGCACTCTTATTAGTCCACAAAGGTAATTACAAATTAATTTAAATTGTTCAACAATTGACGTGAAAAATTTGCGTGAATCACAATTTTCATGGTCATGATCTAGAATGCTATTTAACGTTTTGCGGAGTGACAAAAGCCAAGCAAAATCGTAAACGAACAGTAGGAGCTGTCAAATTAGCATCCGAGCTTCAATAAAGCACTACTCACAAAAGCTACCCAGCACACAATTTGGGCTGATTAAAAGCTGGATAAGCAATTTTTCAGCTGAAGAAGCAAATATTTGTCTGAATAAGCTCTTATTCAACATTCAATGTTTGTTGGGTTTCTCCATGAGAATGAATGAGATAGAAACGAATGCAGACCAAAACAAACCCACCACGACTGTCAATACTTGCGGATGAGGAAAGGAGATGAAAAGGTTTAGGTTAGGGTTCGCGTAGTGATCTATATGAAATTGGACTTCATGCGAGTGATTTGCAATAAGGCCATTACTGGCCGAGTTCTTCAAAATCATGAACCTATATGTGTCGAACGACGGGTTTTAATTCTAGTTGAGAATAGGTCACTTCTCGAGGGTGAATGCAACCGTGCACTCTCAATATGGCCACCACTGGCCGAGGCTTGTAAAATCATGAAGTATGATATGTCGCACAACGGGTTTTTGTTCTTGTCAAAATTGGCCACTTCCCGGGATTCCGAAACATTTCCGAGGGCGCTAGAAACTGCCCGGGAGGGCTAATGTGACCGTGGACTATCAACAAGGTCATTACCGGCCAAGCTTTGTAAAATCATGAAGTTTGATATATCGCACGACGGGTTTTGATTCTAATCAAGAATTGACCACTTCCCTGGGGGCTCCAGAACATTCCCGGGAGGGCTAATGTGACCGTGAAATATCAACAAGGTCATTACCGGCAAAGTTTTGACGTAGGACTACGTCTGTGATTTCTATATGGGGGTACACTTTGTGAAAACAGAAAATGGAACATGTAACAAAATTATGAAAGATTTTGAACGTGAATAACTCAGCTGCCCCTGGACCAATTTCAATCATTTTACCACCAATCGATCAGAAATATTCCTACGCATCTTTAAAATTTAAGACTTTATCAATCTTCAAAATTTCACTACTGAAAACTGCACGAATGCTATGATAATTAAAATTATCACCGATTGCCTGCGAAAAGCGATTTCCCTTACACACATTTCAAAGTTGAATTCCATTTGGTCTCACCAAACGCTGTTTATTCAATCACCGCGTGGTGAGTGGTGATGTTCTCCAGTACACAACGAAAGGCTCCCCTCATCAGCTAGCTATCAAGGCTGGTCTCAACCGCTGATCGGATTTAGTTCCAATTACCGTGTGTTGTGGTGTCCGGTAATCGGCATCATCAGCAGCAGCAGTGCTTTCGGTGCGTAGCGTTGAACATTGTTCTCCAGTACACAACGAAAGGCTGCCTGCAAGCAGCGAGCTGCAGCCCACATGAGCATCCATAGAAGGAGGAAGAAGCCGCATCGGAATAGTTCGTGAATAGTTGTGGGCCTTCTATGCCAAGCGCGCCACCTTCATTTCAAAAAACATACAGCTCACCAGCCTCATCTGTGTTTAATACCCTTAGCATAGCTCAACCATCACGGCAAAACGGTCGTTTTCAGGACCACCATACATTTGTAAAAGAGTATTTTGTGGAAATTTGTCAAGGTCATCAATCGGATGTCAGTTCCCATATCAAGATAGAGCTGGAATTAGGGCGACAGCTTTTGTAAACAATGACTTCTTTCGATGACGTATTGAAAGTCAAGACTCGGCCACGCAAATCAACATCAAAATCAGTTAGGATAAGACTTCCCCTACCCGGTGGTAGTGTTGGTTTGCGTGGGCGTGCCTTGAATTCCTGAAAATCAATCTCTATCTAGATATGTTTAAATCTAACATACCATGTTCTTGAAGGCAACCTTGGGGGTGCAATTTCAAACACCAAAGTCGGTCGCGGCATGAAAGTGGTCTGATTTTGATCCAGAAAGGATGGATTTTAATTCTTAATACGCCAATTGATAGGAATTTTTTCTACGAATTTGTTAAAATTAAGAATTTATCATTTTCAAAATGTCACTATTGAAAATTGCACGAATGTAAAAAAAAAAATTTCACCGTGTGCATAATTATTACAGAACAGTAAAGAGCGGTAAATGCCGACCCAGAGTGTCCCCAACGGAAACCGGAATAACTCCGGAACCAATGTATTGATCCCAAAATGAGTAAATTTCCGACAAAATGCAACTTACTGTGCAGAAAAAAGCTTGAGAGATGATCTATTTGAAGCTAGGTAATTGAATTTTTAAAT